TTTTTGCCAATTTGATTACTATGTGTCTCGGCGTGTTTCTCCTTGGATTTATCCTGTATGGGACTCGCTGCACTTCCTGGACTTGGGTGGCTATTTCCTTTCCCAAGTTAGGGAAGTTTTCAACTATAATCTCTTCAAATATTTTGTTTCCTTTCTCTCTCTCTTGTCCTTCTGGGACCCCTATGATGTGAATGTTGTTGCTTTTAATGTTGTCCCAGAGGTCTCTTAGGCTGTCTTCATTTCTTTTCATTCTTTTTTCTTTATTCTGTTCTGCAGCAGTAAATTCCACCATTGTGTCTTCCAGGTCACTTATCTGTTTTTCTGCCTCAGTTATTGTGCTATTGATTCGTTCTTGTGTATTTTTCATTTCAGTTATTGTGTTGTTCATCTCTGTTTGTTCTTTAATTCTTCTAGGTCTTTGTTAAACATTTCTTGCATCTTCTCGATCTTTGCCTCCATTCTTTTTCCAGGGTCCTGGATCATCTTCACTATCATTATTCTGAATTCTTTTTCTGGAAGGTTGCCTATCTCCACTTCATTTAGTTTTTTTGGGGGGGTTTATCTTGTTCCTTCATCTGGTACATAGCCCTCTGCCTTTTCATCTTGTGTACCTTTCTGTGAATGTGGTTTTTGTTCCACAGGCTGCAGGATTGTAGTTCTTCTTGTTCTGCTGTCTGCCCTTTGGTGGATGAGGCTATCTAAGAGGCTTGTGCACATTTCCTGATGGGAGCGACTGGTGGTGGGTAGAGCTGGCTGTTGCTTTGGTGGGCAGAGCTCAGTAAAACTTTTATCCACTTGTCTGCTGATGTGTGGGGCTGGGTTCCCTCCCTGTTTGTTGTTTTGCCTGAGGGGACCCAATACTGGAGCCTACCTGGGCTCTTTGGTTGGGCTAATGACAGACTCTGGGAGGGCTTACGCCAAGGAGTACTTCCCAGAACTTCTGCTGCCAGTGTCCTTGTCCTCACAGTGACACACAGCCACCCCCGCCTCTACAGGAGACCCTCCAACACTAGCAGGTAGGTCTGGTTCAGTTTCCTATGGGGCCACTGCTCCTTCCCTTGGGTCCCGATGAGCGCGCTACTTTGTGTGTGCCCTCCAAGAGTGGAGTCTCTGTTTCCCCCAGTCCTGTCGAAGTCCTGCAGTCAAATCCCACTAGCCTTCAAAGTCTGATTGTCTAGAAATTCCTCTTCCTGTTGCCAGACCCCCAGATTGGGAAGCCTGACATGGGTCTCAGAATCTTCACTCCAGTGGGTGGACTTCTGTGGTATAAGTTTCTCCAGTTTGTGAGTCACCCACCCAGAAGTTATGGGATTTGATTTTATTGTGATTGCACCACTCCTACCATCTCACTGTGGCATCTCCTTTGTCTTTGGATGTGGGGTATCTTTTTTGGTGAGTTCCAGTGTCTTCCTGTCAATGATTTTTCAGCAGTTAGTTGTAATTCTGGTGTTCTTGTAAGAGGAAGTGAGAGCACGTGCTTCTACTCTGCATCTTGAATCAATCTCTCAACATCTTTATTGGAGTGTAATTGCTTTACAATGGTGTGTTAGTTTCTGCTGTATAACAAAGTGAATCAGCTATACGTATACATATATCCCCATATCTCTTCCCTCTTGCATCTCCCTCCCTCCCACCCTTCCTATCCCACCCCTCTAGGTGGTCACAAAGCACCGAGCTGATCTCCTTGTGTTATGCGGCTGCTTCCCACTAGCTATAGGCTTTACATTTGGTAGTGTATATATGTCCATGCCACTCTCTCACTTTGTCCCAGATTACCCTTCCCCCTCCCTGTGTCCTCAAGTCTGTTCTCTAGTAGGTCTGCGTCTTTATTCCCGTCGTGCCCCTAGGTTCTTCATGACCATTTTTTTTTTTTAAGATTCCATATATATGTGTTAGTATGTGGTATTTGTTTTTCTCTTTCTGACTTACTTCACTCTGTATGACAGACTCTAGGTCCATCCACCTCATTACAAATAACTCAATTTCGTTTCTTTTTATGGCTCAGTAATATTCCATTGTATCCATTCATCTGTCGATGGACACTTAGGTTGCTTCCATGTCCTGGCTCTTGTAAATAGAGCTGCAGTGAACATTGTGGTACATGACTCTGTTTGAATTATGGTTTTCTCAGGGTATATGCCCGGTAGTGGGATTGCTGGGCTGTATGGTAGTTCTATTTTTAATTTTTTAAGGAAGCTCCATACTGTTCTCCATAGTGGCTGTATCAATTTACATTCCCACCAACAGTGCAAGAGGGTTCCCTTTTGGCCACACCCTCTCCAGCATTTATTGTTTGTAGATTTTTTGATGATGGCCATTCAGACTGGTGTGAGCTGATATCTCATTGTAGTTTTTTTTTTTTTTTTGCGGTATGCGGGCCTCTCACTGCTGTGGCCTCTCCCGTTGCGGAGCACAGGCTCTGGATGCGCAGGCTCAGCAGCCATGGCTCATGGGCCTAACCACTCCGCGACATGTGGGATCTTCCTGGACCGGGGCACGAACCCGTGTCCCCTGCATTGGCAGGCGGACTCTCAACCAGTGCGCCACCAGGGAAGCCCTCATTGTAGTTTTGATTTGCATTTATCTAATGATTAACGATGTTCAGTATTCTTTCATGTGTTTGTTGGCCATCTGTATGTCCTCTTTGGAGAAATGTCTATTTAGGTCTACTGCCCATTTTTGTATCGGGTTTTTTGTTTTTTTGATATTGAGCTGCATGTGCTGCTTGTAAATTTTGGAGGTTATCTTTGTCAGTTACTTCATTTGCAAATATTTTCTCCCAGTCTGAGGGTTGTCTCTTTGTCTTCTTTATGGTTTCCTTTGCAGTGCAAAAGCTTTTAAGTTTCATTAGGTCCCATTTGTTTATTTTTGTTTTTATTTCCATTTCTCTAGGAGGTGGGTCAAAAAGGATCTTGCTGTGATTTATGTCATAGAGTGTTCTGCCTATGTTTTCCTCTAAGAGTTTGATAGTGTCTGGTGTACATTTAGGTCTTTAATCCATTTTGAGTTTATTTTTGTGTATGGTGTTAAGGAGTGTTCTAATTTCATTCTTTTACATGTAGCTGTCCAGTTTTCCCAGCACCACTTACTGAAGAGGCTGTCTTTTCTCCATTGTATATTCTTGCCTCCTTTATCATAAATAAGGTGACCATATGTGTGTGGGTTTATCTCTGTGCTTTCTATCCTGTTCCATTGATCTATATTTCTGTTTTTGTGCCAGTACCATATTGTCTTGATTACTGTAGCTTTGTAGTATAGTCTGAAGTCAGGGAGCCTGATTCCTCCAGCTCAGTTTTTCTTTCTCAAGATTGCTTTGGCTGTTCGGGGTCTTTTGTTTTTCCATACAACTTGTGAAATTTTTTGTTCTAGTTCTGTGAAAAATGCTAGTGGTAGTTTGATAGGTATTGCATTGAACCTGTAGATTGCTTTGGGTAGTATAGTCATTTTCACAATGTTGATTCTTGCAATCCAAAAACATGGTATATCTCTCCATCTATTTTATCATCTTTAATTTCTTTCGTCAGTGTCTTATAGTTTTCTGCATACAGATTTTTTGTCTCCTTAGGTAGGTTTATTCCTAGATATTTTATTCTTTTTGTTGCAGTGGTAAATGGGAGTGTTTCCTTAATTTCACTTTCAGATTTTTTATCATTAGTTTATAGGAATGCAAGAGATTTCTGTGCATTTATTTTGTATCCTGCTACTTTACCAAATTCATTGATTAGCTCTAGTAGTTTTCTGGTAGCATCTTTAGGATTCTCTATGTATAGTATCATGTCATCTGCAAACATTGACTGCTTTACTTCTTTTTTTCTGATTTGGATTCCTTTTATTTGTTTTTCTTCTCTGATTGCTGTGGCTAAAGCTTCCAAAACAATGTTGAATAATAGTGGTGACAGTGGGCAACCTTGGCTTGTTCCTGATCTTAGTGGGAATGGATTCAGTTTTTCACCATTGAGGATGATGTTGGCTGTGGGTTTGTCATATATGACCTTTATTATATTGAGGAAAGTTCCCTCTATGCCTACTTTCAGATTGGCTGTTTTTGAAAAATTCCTCCTTGTTTAGTTGACTGACTTCCTAGGAAATTTCCCAGGCAATGATATGAATTAATAATAAAGTGATTAAGAATACATTTTTACAAGGTTCCCATGAAGACCACTGGGATGGAAAAAAGCAATGTATAAAATGCAGTGCTGCGGCTTCCCTGGTGGGAAGAATACACCTGCCCATCCAGGGGACATGGGTCCTAGCCCCAGTCCCGGAAGATCCCACGTGTCGCAGAGCAACTAAGCCCGTGTGCCACAACCACTGAGCCTGTGTTGTGGAGCCCATGAGCGACAACTACTGAAGCCCACAAGCTTAGAGCACATGCTCCGCAACAAAGAGAAGCCACTGCAATGAGAAACCTGCGTACCGCAATGAAGAGTGGCCTTGGCTCACTACAACTAGAGAAAGCACATGCACAGCCACGAAGACCCAATGCAGCCAAACATAAATAAATAAAATAAATAAATTTATAAAAATAAATGCAGTGCTTAAAGTTAGAGTAATAATTTGTGTAAATTTTAGCAGGAAAATTTAGTCTGTCAGTTATTTCTCTTGGATCTCAAAGCAAATTTTTACTTGCTTGGAAATATAAATTATAACTGGAATCATAATAAAATACAGTATCAATTTTGAAATATCTGAAACTGTAATTTGATGATGTATCTTTAGGTTGCTCATTAGTTATAGAAACATTAAACAGAAACTTAAGAAACTTTAAGCAAGGTAATTATATAATGATAGACATAGTCCAACTCTATCTGGGAATACTCATTGACAGAATTTTGAGGGAACAGGAAACATTAACAGATTCCCTAATTAAAGGAATAAAAATGACCTGAGTTTCTTGTTTGTATGTACAGGATTGGAAACCATGTTGGAATTTTTAAAAATATCGATGAATATAGTTGCCTTCTTTTCCCATGTTTAAACTTTTACTTCTCTTTTATTAGTCTGCAAAAAATGGTGAAGCTTTACAAAGTAATGAGGAGATGGAAAGTACAAAAAACTTTCTAGCTTTAACTGCTGCATCAGAAGAAACTGTTGGTGAGTAAAATTGATTCGTCTTTATTTTTATCTCAGGGTCTTAGAATATTTGGATTAAAGTAAAAGTCCCAATTCAGTTATCTTTTCTTTTTCTTTGTGGGTTTAATTCTTTAGAGGAAATGATCACGTTGGATAGGACTATATGGAACTATTCTGAAGTTAGGTATGTTTCAGAGTCTTCTAGTGTTTGTGTCTCCTCAAGGGTGAGGAGGATAAGGCAGTGAAAAATCAGGAAATAGACAAAGTATGTCTTTGCCTTTACTTCCTGTGACTCTTAGGTGCCTCTACACACCCAGTTTGTGCAGTCCCCTAACTGCCTGGGATTGTCCCATGAGGTGTCTCACTCAGGCCTCTGCAACCTTTCATAAAAATCCGCTACTGATTTGTCCTTTCCCTGTTCTCTCATAGTTCTGGTTTATGAGACCAGCCAGTTAATTCTGTGCATATGTTTCTACTTCCCCCACTTGTGTGTATGTAACAGCTGACCCTTGAACAACATGGTGGTTAGGGGCACTGCCCCTGTGCAGTTGAAAATCCAGGTATAACTTTATAGTTGGCCCTCTGTACCTGCAGTTCTGCATCCATGGATTCAACCAACCAAGGATTGTGTAGTACTATAGTGTGCATTTATTGAAAAAAATCCGTGTATAAGTGAACCTGTGCAATTCAAACATTATGTTGTTCAAGGGTCAACTGTATATTTGTGATTCGCCTCCTCCTCCTCCTTCTTCTTTTCCTTCTTCCTTCTTTTCTTTCTTTTTCTTCTTCTACAGAAGTACTGTGGAATCATATAACTTATTTTAATTTACTTACTTAGTAATGAATGTTTTAGTGATTGGGAAGACATGGATTTTTTGGCAGGACACTTTTGAAATCCTTTAACTAACATCATCTAAATGGTCATATAGTATTTCTTGGGCATTAGACTGGCCCTAAGTAGGGGTCCCAGGAGTCGGATTGCTGGATCATATGGTAGCTCTGTTTTTAGCTTTTTAAGGAACCTCCATACTCTTCTCCATAGTGGCTGCACCAATTTACATCCCCACCAACAGTGTAGGAGAGTTCCCTTTTCTCCACACCCTCTCCAGCATTTATTATTTGTAGACTTTTTGATGATGGCCATTCTGAATGGTGTGAGGTTGATGTGGTTTTGATTTGCATTTCCCTAATAATTGGCTATGTGGAGCATCTTTTCATGTGCCTATTGGCCATCTGTATGTCTTCTTCAGAGAAATGTCTATTTAGATCTTCTGCCCATTTTTTGATTGGTTTGTTTGTTTTTTTGTTATTGAGTTGTATGAGCTATTCGTTTATTTTGGAAATTAAGCCCTTGTTGGTCACATTATTTGCAAATATGTTCTCCTAGTCTGTAGGTTGTCTTTTAGTTTTGTTGATGGTTTCCTTTGCCATTCAGCATCTGTATTTTAGAATGCAGGAGCTAAATGCTAATTTCACCACTGAGGCATTTCTAAGAGGCCACACTTGCTGTGCTTGACTCTGGAGCAAGGACTGTAAAACAGGCCACTCTGTAAAGGGATCCATGGTGGCCTTTTGACATTAGCCTTTTGGTCACAGAGTTCACTACTGAGTGAACTTTAGGCCTTAGAGGGAAAGACTTGTTTTCAGCTGGCCTTTCTTCACGAACAAATCTGAGCTATCAGATACATTTAATTTTAAAAGCCCGTGACAGGTCCATTTGGTTAAATCTATGGAGCTCAGAGTTGTATCTCTGGAGTCACGTGACTACTGTAGGCCCTGTAGACATCTACAGTTATGCTAGATTAGTACTAATACTCTAACATGGAAACTTCTTAGACTCCATGATCTGGAAGCTGGAGTTACCAGAGGCTTGGCCAGAGAGAGTCATTGCTTTAAACATTACCATGTCAGAGTTTCAATTTTTAGATTTCGAATTCTTAGTCACTTATTGTGTACTGGCAGTGTTTATCGTGTGCAGAGCAGATAAGATGTGAGAGTAGGGTCAGTGTGAAAGGAAATGGGGATCAAAGATGCTTTTGGGTAAATCAAGGGTCTGTTGCCCTTCGTTCTTGCTGCCGTCTGTCTTGATTAGCTCACGCTTGACTAGTTCACCAGAATGAAGAGACAACACTATTGTACTCCTGGTTCTTCAGATTTAATTAGACTTTTTTGGTGGCTGGCCTTTCATAGAAGACAGGTTCCTTAATGGAATGTCTTGCTGGCTCTTCACATCCTAGGCATGTCAGCAGTCACATATATATCTGGTCTTTAAAAATCTTAAAACCCAAAAGAGATAGCATTTACTATAAACTACATTATTAGCCTAATTATACATTTTTTTTACATTTGACATAACATAATTATTACCTTATTCCAAAAGAGGTAACTTTTGGAATCTTCAGTTTATGAAATGTGTTATTAGCAAGTATGAAAGAAATGTATGAAAGAAAGGCATAGAAATGAAAGAGTCCAATTTTACCACCTAGTACTGATTTTTGATAGTCTCATATTTCTACTATTACAACATAGCCGCATATCATGAAATGTTGTGACACTGCTTATGTCTGTTGCGTCCTGAGATTAGTTTCTTTCCCAGGTTATTCACTGAACTTCAACTACCCCTCTTAATTAAAAATGTAAAAATTTTAAAAATTAAAAAATTATTTTGATCAAGCCTATGGATAGCCATAAATTTTAAAGTAAAGTGTTTCTTATAAGGCTTATTATGAAAACAGAAATCTTTTGCTGTCTTTTCCTCCATGATCATTTTTTTCTTTGTTCCCTGGAAAGCTCAAAGTTCTTGTAAACTGTCCAGTAGGTGGCGGCATCTAGTTAAAATAGTACTTTAAAAGCGTCTCTTGAAGAATTTAGAGCCAGGCTTATTTGGACTTGAACCTTAAACACAAATCTATAAATACCCAAAGCTACTTTTTGCTGTTCTTATTTTTTTCCTTTAAACAAAGGGAGAAATCTTAGGATGAGTGTTCTTCTTTATTTCTCCCAGTCATTTCCTTAACTTTCTTAAGAGTAACTCGAGGGACTTTGGGCTAGTGGCAGAATGGCAAGTTCCAATCTGTTTTCCCACCCTCTAAACACAAAATGCATCCTTTGGGGATGTTATAGTCCCTTTATAACATCACAAATAAACAATAGCAAAAAAAAAAAAGAAAAGATACTTGTGTATTTAGTTTTATTTATAGGAACTACACACAAATGGGGCGTTGACTCTATGAGAATGATAAACACCACATTAAATTGATTTCTTTTTAAACCACATTTTGACTTCATAAACCAGAGATAATATCCTCAAGTACTGAGGTTTCAAAGTGGACAGTATTGCACTTGCTAGAGATTTCAGAAGTATTTTAAAAGTCTGTCTCACCACATTTTTGAGGGATCACTTTAAAGCTTTTCTAGAGAAATGTGAAAATCATTTACCATACCAGGAGTTTTCCCTTAGTTTTTAGCATTTATCTGATGGATAGAGGTAGAATTCATTACTCTCTGAGACGAATATATCTAGTGATAGGATTGCTTGTTATCGGTGTTTTGGATAGAGGTTATTCTTTTTTGCCTTTGTCACTTTTGCCCTTGTGTTTCCAGCTCCAATGTATAAGTACATGTAAGCACAAAACAGTGGCACTTTAATCAATCAGATTTCTCAAAATTTGCAAATACCTCTTTCAAAATGATTTTCTGTGAAATTTAGGAAAATGTTGCTTCTGCTCTTGCATGTTAAGATTAAATATTCCAAGAAAATTTGGTAGTCTCTTTCTGCTGTGATTTGCAGAGGACTTGGGGAGAAAATCACGTAATTGTGCTGACTGGTACAGCTAAGTATTTTTGGTTTTTAACCTCTGTTATATTCTCAGTATTGCTTAGCAATTTCTCTTACATTCTCCAAAGTGGCTCTTCCAAATTGTTACTGTGTATTTAACCTCCCATCCTCTTATGCAAGTCCTTTACCCTGGCAGTCTTAGGGTTCAGAGAAAATGCACCAACTGGTTGGGAGTTCCTTCCAAATTCTTGCTTTCTGTCTCCAAATTGCAGTCTGACTGTGCTCCTCTACCCTCTTCCCTCTTCCCTTAGATGGAGGGCAGGTGCTCTTCTTCTCCAAGGCCGAAGTCAATAATGTCCCATCCCCTTCACTCTACTCCTGCCTCCTGATCCATCAGTTTTTCTGTCTCTTACCTAGAGCATCTCTCTTGTCTCCTCTGGGTCCTTCCCTTCAGCTAACCAGGCTTAAATGTTCTGGCCCTAAAACAGAATCAAAGAGCCATCAAACCAACAAAACATACAAATAAAACCTCCTCCCTCGGTTCGTCACCCTACTCCCAAACAGGTACCATTCGGTTTCCCTCCTCTCCTTAAAGGTCAGACTTCTTGAGAGAATAGTCCGCACCTACTAGTGCTACTTGGTCAACTTCCATTTACTTCCCAACTGTATTTTCTCCTATCACACTACAGAAACTACTTCATCAGTGGTCCTCCTAAATTCTATATCTAGTGACATCCTCCCAATTTTCATCCTATTTGATGCCTCTGTCGCATCTGACACAGTTGACCGCTCATAGAATAGTAACTTTTTTTTTTTTTTTTTACTGGATTCATTATTTCCTGCTGGTTCTCCTCTCCCCCTCCTTATTTCCCATGGTTGAAACCTATTTCTTCTTTTGTATATTTTCGCTATCTTGGTTAATGGTTTCGTCATCCACCCAGTCTTTGTGATGGCTCATTGTATGTGTCATTTTGACTGGATCACAGGATGCTCAGATGTCTGGTTAAGCATTATTTCTGGGTGTATCTGTGAGGGTGTTTCTGGAAGAGACTAGCATTTGAATTGGTAGACTGAGTGAAGTGAATACTGTCCTGATTGTGGGTGGGCATCATCCAATACTTTGAAGGCTTGAATAGAACTAAAATGTAGAGGGGGGAGGGATTGGCCCTCTCTCTGCCTGACTGCTCGAGTTGGGACATTGATCTCCTCTGGCCCTCAGTAATAATTATTTTATTTATTCTAA